TTTTTTTTTTTCTAATTTATGTGAACTGTTCATGTGAATTTTACTTAGTGTATAAAGAAAAAAAAAAAATTGACTTTACACATATATTGTCAATTTGCAATAATTATTCAAAAAAAAAAAAAAAAAAAAAAAAAAAAAAAAGCGAAACATCCCGTTCTGTTACAAAAAAAAAAAAAACAAAGAAAAACGGGTTGCAAGCGACAATTTGGTGGTACCGCCAAATCTGCAAATATCCCGTTGTTGCCATCGAAAAGTTGTAGAACAAATCGCACTCCTAAAAGTGAACAAAATGGACTGAACAATGGGAAAAATACGATTTAAAAAGTTCACTAATGAATGTGCAGCAGGGAAAAAATAAAAGTAAAAAGGTGAACGGCAAAAAAATTACTAGCAACATGCAAAGTAAAATGCGCAGAAAATTTTCAACCGCAACCGCGCAACGCGTAACAAACGAATTGCATCGCATTAGGTTGGTGGCTATTTTTTCCCCTTTTTCCGTTCTACACAGTTTATTTTCACATTTATCTAACACAAAAAAAAAAATGGGGCGTAAATTGGTGTATACATTATATATGTATATAATGTACTACATTTTATGGGGAAAGCTGAATTCCTCGCTTGAATTTGCTAAAAATTTCCACGTAAGGCTGCACACAACTAAGTATACAACTGTATCAATTCCCGTTAACATATACATTTACTCATATTTGGAGTGCCTTTGCAATATGAAAGTTTCCAAACGATTTCGCCGTTTTCTACTAAACAACATCATATCGCTTTTAACCCATGTCAGCAATTATTTTTCCATGCAGAAGGGGAAGACGAAAATTTACCCTTAAAACAGTCTACATGAACATTATAACATATTTTGATAAAAATAATGAGCACAATTGTTTTTGTCCACATTCCGCACGTCTCCTCATCAGGGAATTATTCTTAACCTGACCGCACTTTCGAACATTATACAACAACATGAAAAATTATCTTTTCCTATTTTTTTCCCAAAGAAGAGTAAAATAATTGCGCGTTGCTGTCCTTTCACCGTTGCGCATAAACGTTAATGCTGCGCTCCGCATGTGATAGTGAGAAATGTTGGCTAAATTTGTACACACTTCTTTTTACGAAAATTAAATTATAAATCAGCTGAACACCTGAACAACTGACCAATGAACTAAGCACATTGCGCTTTCCAGTGCGTCTTCTACAAGGAACACTCCTGTGGGCGCTGATAAACGGTCAAACTGTTCATTTTGATGGGAAAAAATAATAATCCCTTTCCCTTTTTTTTTCCAAAACGTACACCAATGGTGACATAATGTTCTTAAAAAATTTCCCCCCTTGGCGCTCAGAAAAATAAAGGAAAACTAGAACAGGGAAAATTCGTATGAGGCAAAGAAGCACACTGCAGGGTTATAAACGCATTTATTGCGATAATGGGTTTCGTCGTGGCAAACCCAATGTTCACAATTTGTCTATTCTGAATTTTTTTTTTTTTTTTTTTAAATCGGATCTTTCGCTTTGCAGCTCATCGAAACTGGTCCACAATGAAAATGATAAATAAGGAAATAAAAAAAAAAAAAATATTTTTTTTTTTTTCGTTAAATTTATCCCCGTCAGTAGCCCAAGCACTGATTAGATATTTGTTCCTGTTTCGTTTAATTATAACGCGGTGAACTTAATTGTGCAAAAATATGTACAAGGTGTATACACGCGTGTGCAACACATGCGTTTATTTTAGTTAAATGTCGTACTTCCTCAAAGGAACGAACACACAAATATGATGTATACATATACACATATGCATATACAGTCGCACACAGGCAAAGGTGTAGCCAGCGAACACGAAAAAAAGAAGCTGACGGGTGTGCACAAAACACAGGGCACGTGAGGGAGGTCACACAGAGGGAGAGAAGAGAGCAGTAAGAGGTAACGGGCCTGCCTCTTTAATACAAAGGTCAACACACGCTACATCTGCACAAGTGACCTTTCGACTGCCTTTGCCCACTCGGAAATTTTCTGCTTTCTATTTTTTTCATCCATTTTAGAATTAAAAGTAGAATCGCTATTCCGTATTAAACTTTTAACAGAATCTAAATCCTTCCATATTTTGACCCCCAGACCAGCCAGCACAGCAGCCCCCAGTGCAGTTACTTCTGCATACTTTGACACTTCGATTTTTGTGTTTATAATATCCGAGTTGAACTGCATGAATGCTTTATTCTTTGTCATTCCTCCATCACACCGTAACACGTGGAGCATTTCTATGCCCATATCTGAGATGAGCGAGTACACAATTTCGTTCAGCTGAAAAACGATTCCTTCTAGAAGAGATCGAACAATGTGTTTCCTCTCCGTATTGAATGTCATACCCGTTATACATGCCCTGGCATCTGATCTCCACCTAGGGGCATACAAACCACTAAACGCTGGTACGAACACCACCCCTCCTGTGTCTTCACAGTTTTCCATAATATAGCTAGCTTCACTAGGATGCGAAATTAAATTATTCTTCATCAACCAGGATACACCTGAACCAGCCGTACCTATAGAACCCTCCAAAGCATATTTCGCCTGATCATTTTCATTAAATTTGTAACACACCGTTGTAATTAAACCACAAGAAGAATACACCACGTTGTATCCTGTATTTATAAGTAAAAAAACACCAGTACCATAAGTACACTTAGCTTCTCCTTCATCAAAAATAGCCTGTCCTATACATGCACTCTGTTGGTCCCCAATACACCCTGTAATTGGCACACCCGCATATTCAGGTACTTGCTCACATACGACCTCGCCAAAATTGAAACTGTTACATTTAATTTCTGGAAGAACGGACATATTTGTAATGCCAAACATTTTGCACAATTCTTCATCCCACTCTAATGTGTTGATGTTCATCAACAGGGTCCTAGATGCATTTGTCACATCTGTGTAGCTATTTCCATTTGTTAAATTGTATATCAGCCATGTATTTATGTTACCTATGATGGCAGATCCATCATCCACCTTCTTCTTAATCTCTGTGTTGTTCTGAATTAGCCATAAAATTTTGAACGCACTAAAATAAGTATTAAAATAGGTTCCTGTCTTCTGCTGAAAATAATCATTATTATACTTTTTTGAAAATTCAGCAACCATATCTTCTACTCTCGTGTCCAACCACACAATGGCATTGTACAAAGGCTTGCCTGTACGTTTATCCCATATGATCACCGTCTCCCTCTGGTTTGTAATTCCTATACATTTTACTACTACCTCTTTGTACTTTTCCTTAAGAGCCTTCAAACCATCATTCATCAGGGTATACAAATTATTAATTATTTCAACTGGGTCATGTTCGTACCACCCGGGTTTGAAACATTTTTGTTCATGGTTCAGACTATTTATAAGCAACACATTCAATTCTTCATCGAAGAAAATCAGCTTCGTGGATTGGGTGCTTTGGTCTATGCTCAATATCACATTCATTTTTAACTAGTTTCTATAAAGGCAGCTTTCCGTGTGCAACGATGCGTGGAGTGCAAAGGGGGATTGCGGATGGAACGGTAAAAAAAGAAGAAAAAAATGTAACAGCTTTACACCCCAAACACTGCTTCCTCCCGTTTTAGGGACACACTACCTGAAAATAAACGACGATGTCGCAAAAAAAAAAAAAATAAAATAAAAATAAAAAAAACCAGAACAAATGTGCACTCAGATACGCAGAGGCGACGGGCTACATAAACATCTGTACGAACCTACATATATATATATATAAACATACAATTATACTCGTGCGCACCAACACTCATACAAATATTATTTAACCCCCTAGGGCAGAACTTTTTACAACAAGCCCAAAGCAGTTATTTTCACAAAAAATCATTTACTGCGTTTGTAATAGTTAGGCACAAGTTCACATATTGTGGCTGTTTATTTTTTTTTTTTCGTGTACTGTAGAAGGAGATTTTAGCCGACTGGATGGTCCTCACAAATATATCAACATAAGCGAGGTGTGTTCATGTAGAAAAAAACCTACTTCCAAAAAAAAAAAAAGCTGCGCATATATATAATATTCACGCGCGCGCATGTACAGATGTACGCATGGAGGT